GGAAAGAAGGTGTGTCGAGCACCATATCAATTGGTTTATTGTTCTGAGCTTTTTATCTCTTACAGGATGATCTCCTGTAAGAGATCGAAAGCTCAGAACAATACATCAACTGATTTGGTGCTCGACACGTCTTTTTCCTCTTTTAACCTCATCTTTCCTTGCCCTGAATGTACATGCAAGTCCTAATAATACCCGTAGCACCTTTTCGAGGAAATGTTATATCGAAACTGCAGCTTGACTAGTTGTTCGGAATGAAAAACAGTGTGACCTTTCTAGAAAATCCGGGTGTTCTAGAGGCTCGAATTGACCATAAACGCAGCTACACGCATAGGAAAGTCTCTATGAGGCAAACTGTTTTTTGCGTTCTCAGTGACTATTACTTTTAGGGCCTGAAGAATGCTGCACTAGGTTTGTGTACGTTAAAGCAGATGGGGGACGCACCCTTCGAAACTACAAAACAAACCACCAAGTAACTGATCCTCTCCGAAGTTTCTCTCAGAATAGCTGTCACTCAATCGCATTATCAGTCACCTTCAGTTAAGTGAATGCTTAGAGGTACTGGGTTGGAAAGGAGTTCAACCTATTCTCAAGCATTCAGTGGGTGAAGTACCCAGCTTGCTTTAAATAAATCGACTGCTGAAAATGCGAGGGCCAAGTGGACAGAATAAGCGAAGTGGGATGAACAAAACTATTAAGATAGGTGCTCAACAGAAACTCTCCTCGCAATCAGATTGATATTGTTGTCTCGTACTCATTGTAAGATAGAAAAACTGAGGCCCACAAGGTTCCTTGGTGTAATATTCCGCAATATAACTTTCTTTTCCTTTGATAACACAGAACGACCTCCATTTGAAATTAGGTGATGCAGACGTGCCTCTCAAGCAGTTTAAACAAGAGAAGAAAGGATTTCAGAAGGTAATGCTACGGTAAGTCTCACGTTATGAGAAAGGGAACAAATAAAGAGAAACATTTTTTATATTCATTGCCCGAATCACGTGCCTTTAGTACTGGCCTTTGTAAGTGTAGCACATTCGCTCATCTTTTCCCCCACTTGTCTATAATTTGAAACCTAAAATCTACAGCAGGGAGAGGGAGCGGAGAATGAATCATTTGTTTGTGAGTTAGTTACCAATGAAAGTAGAATTTGAGACAGGAGAATGTTAGCCGTTTTGCAGCAACCAGCAAGCCTGCAAAAAACACCGGTAAGGTAGCAGTAATGGAATACATCTAAGACAGATAGAAAAAGCATTTTTAATCCTTTTGGAGGAAAATATCTATGATGACCGGCTATCGATAAGCTTTTTTTTATAATAATTGGATCTTTGGATTTTATTAGACCTAAGTTACTACCTTCAAAGTACGCCCATTGAACATGCATTGGCGATGCCGTCAACCTATGTTCAATAGGTTTATTTGCCGCAATCGTCAGCAGAAGAATTGATGAAAACCAT